TATTAACAATTCTAATAATGATTAATAATAATATAACTTGTGATAGTATTATTTAGCACAATAAACAGAGTAGAGAGACAACCAGCAGCAAAGGGGATGGACTCAGCTGTCGCGGTGTTGGGAGCACCGTTGAAAGACCTGAAGGGCCAGACTGAGGGCAGATCATCATGGAGAAAATCTATCTATGTGGTCACTAAGAGTCTTGGTGGCACATTATCAATCTATCAGCTTGGTGGCACGTCATCCATCGATCAGTCTAAGGCTGAAAGAGACTGGTCCAAAATCACCCAGATAGCTTCTGTGCCTAAGGAGGACCGGAAGACAGCTGTCCCTGCTCCTGGTCCAACCCTTCCCCACAACCCCACTCTGAATCTTGGGCCGGGAGAGAGAAGGTCAGCCCCAAATCCTCCAGGGAATTTCCATGGTTGAGAGAGGGACTAGAACACTCCCAGTCTAATGCCTTCACCACAGCGTTTCCAGATTTTAATTTCTATTAGTGTTGAACAGTGAAGACCTCAGTGACCTATGGAGATAAAACTACGTGTGCACCTTCGTTTCTCATATGCAGTCTACTAAACTGGTTTCTCTGCAGCGGAACGATACCTCTGGATTTAGTTTCCTCTGTCCTCTTCTCTACATTAAGAGAGCTACTCACCCAGAAGTCCCACTACAATGTAACCAGCAATGAAGACCCCAAAGATAACGCAGCAAATAATATCTGTACAGCTCCTGGAAAAGAGGAAGGGGGGGATCAGTCATCAACAGGCTAACTTATACGTACATGTGTGTTGACATAAATGGTAAAGACTCAGCCATCAAGCTCCAATTCTGGTGACTTCGTGCACACACCCATGAAGCTTCTTATAATTTCTCAAGCTAGCTAACACACATGGGATTTCCTGGGGTCTCCCATCCAAGCACTAACCCGGTATGTACATACAGGCATGTGTGCACGTGGTCACTCACACGCCTTGCTGAGGAAGTTACATTTTATCAAGCCATTGAACTGGAAAAAGTCTGAAAAAAGAAATGTCCTTAAATACTATGGACAGAGTGCATTTCTTCCATCTACGCCAGGCAGTTCACGCAAACCTGGACCCAGAGCATAATTGCTAGGCATCACTGGATGCTGGGCTCTTCCACAGGCTCTGGTTGGGAGGGACCAAGTCACCTACTCCTCCTCAACAACTTCCTAAAGCAGCCTTCCCCAACGTGGTGCCCTCCAGTCCTCTTTAATTTCAACTTGCATAGCATCCTAGCCAGCCTGGTCATGCCCTGCAATTCAGAGTAGAGGTTCAGTGCTGGTGGAACAGTGCCAGCACCAGCCCTGCCGGCTAGGGGATTATGGGACTCGAAGTCCAACCCGTTTGGAGGGTGCCAAATCAGGGAAGACTGACCATAAACTCGACTCCAGTGGGAAATGTCAATGCATCGTCAACCGGAAGTTAAAGCACTAAATATGCTTTTTTCTTGGCATATAATTTTTATTAAGGATTTTGATTTCAATAGTAAAAATGAATACAAACTAAACTTAAAGAAAGAGAAGAGAAAGAGGGAGTAGAAAGTGCAGAAAAAAAGAAAAAGAAAAAGAAAAAGAAAGGCAAGGCAAGGCAAGGCAAGGCAAGACAAGACAAGACAAGACAAGACAAGACAAGACAGAAAAAGAAAAGAAATATATAAAGAACTGACTTCCAGACAAGACAAGACAAGACAAGACAAGACAAGACAGAAAAAGAAAAGAAATATATAAAGAACTGACTTCCAACCTTCCTCACAACAAGTATAAACACATTTAGTAGCTCTTCACCCCCTTTAAGATTACAAACATGAACCACGCATTCTGTAGCAGGCCAATGTGGAAGTGAACGCCGTTGAAAGCCAATAGGCTTACTTGAAAGAAAGTTTTTTTTTCAGAATCTCAAATATTCTCAGTCCCCAAAATGTGTATCAGATAGCAGATCTAATTTCTGATACCCAGAAATAAAACTCCGCCTCCCAAACAAAATATAGATCTGCACATCCCCTCCTGCAACTATTCCCCCTCCCCTAATATTTTTCTTGTGCCCCACTTGCACACAGATGTCTTATTCATAGGCCTCCCTTCTTCCCTCTTGAGCAGCCTAGTTCTTCCCTCATCTTTAGCTCCACCAGCATCAATCTACCAGTTGGCGCTCCAGTCATCCCTTCGTAGCACAAGGTGTTCTTACCTCTTCTGGATAGGACCCCGAAAAGAGGGATCGTACTGACATTTCTCTCCTGGGGAGAAGAAAAAGGAGGAGTGAGAGCACATTCGGTCTAAAAGTATTACAAAAAGAAAAGGAGGTTGCATTAACTCTGCATATGCTGATCTGTATGGCTGGGTGCACATTTAGACATTATTACTAGAGTTTAGTTTAAATACACACATGGCACAACTCACAACGGCGGAGAGGGTTGTAGCATCGAATTGTCTGCCTCTTTCCACTTTTGGCCACTTCCAGACCTCGGCTGTTTTTCCTTCCCAGCGTGGGTATTTTAGCTCAGGGAGGTTTGCCAGTTTTTCAAATCAAACAGGAGCATCCTGTGGCTCTTCCAGATGTTGCGGGACTACAACTCCAAGCCTTCCTCCCTATTTGCCATGCTGGAGTTTGCAGTCCAGCAACAGAATGACCAAGGGTCCCACCTCTCAAATAGACACCTGCCTCCCCACCTTTCAGACGTGAGGTTCCAGCAGAATCACTCTTGGTTAAATGTAGGAAAAGGGCCACCTACATTCTCAAAGGAGAAATCTACTACATGAGCAAAGTTGGTTGCTTGGTACTCTACGAACCAGGGCCAAGAGGTTCTACTTTCAATGGCTGATTGTAGGACCTATGTAAGGTCAGCTAGGGAGAATATCTTGGAACATGCATAGATGCCCCCACCTCAGTTTGGCTATGACATCCAGAGGTGCTACATCTGGTCATTCAAAGAAAGGATCTCCCAAACACAGGTGTCTGCTGAGGTTCCTCAAAAGAGTCTAGTTGGTGGCTATGACAATGTGGTCGAAGCTCTGCCATTTTTTCATGTACGTTGGACACATGACGCACATAAAAAACAGGCAGACCTTCAAGGGCACCATTGTGGACACCATCTTGATTTTTTTGACCATACCCTGGGGACCCTCCTTCTCCCAAAGCCATGAATCCCAGGCTCAACTCAGCAGAGCTTCTGTGCCCAAGCTGGGTTAGCTAGGAGCTCCCTTTCCAAAACGACAGCTATTAAATCTACAATAAAAAACAGTAGTATTTCTCTAAGTCCCAGTCACGCACATCGCAGCCTAGAATTTCATGGCACTAATAAATTCTCCACGTTGCCTGTTTTTTGACGTTTGGTACTGGCTGAGAGATTTCGTCTGCTCATTTCTTAAGCCAATGAAGTGTAAGAATCTTTCCAGAGGGGAGAACCCCAAAATATTGTTGTGTTCCCATGTAGAGAAAGCTTTCCCCAACTGGCATTTTTACAGATGTGTTGGGAATGCAATTGCTAAGTCCTTAGTCACCATGACTTCCCAGCACGTCTAGAGGGCACCAGTTTGGGGAACAATGTGATATCTTCTGTTCCTACTTGATACAGTAAAAGTGTGGTATCTCGGTCTGTTTGTCACCTTCACTTCCAGATTCAATCACAAATCTAATAATGAAATGATTAGGTCCAACTCCTTGACATAAGAGATAAGCAGAGAAAGAGTGATGTAAAAAATTAACCAGGAAATAACCAAAGATCTTTGAAAACAATCCGGAGATATGCCAGAGGTTAGGAAAGATCATTGCCAAAGTATGCAAATATCATAAAAGGGACACTTTATCTGTGAAATAGTATCCTTTTTTCATTCCCTCTATGACAAAAACAACATGTCAGATCTTTGTCAAGGTATGCTAGTCATGTTGTCCACCTGGAACGAATCCACTCACTGGGGACAAAAGAGGCATTATTTTATCTTAATTTATGTTTATTGATTTTATTGTACTTTCTTTGATTGTTGTAAGCCACCCAGAATCATTGAGAGTTGAATGGCATACAAGTTCAATAAATTATTATTATTGTTATTATTATTCTTTTTGTTAAAAGTTTATTTAACCTTATTTATTACAAGTTTTTAAAAATGCACAAAAATACCAAAAAATCCAACTAACGCCAAAAAACAGACTATAAACCAAAATAAAAACCAAGAATAATTAACAATCATTGATTAATTATGAATAAGAACAAATAATAATAATTGAAGAAAGACAACTGGAAAAAATTACGAAATACTGGGACTTGCAGATCGAAGTTGAACGCTTATGGAAAAAGAAATCTGCTGTTATACCAATCATAATTGGACTCCTTGGAGCAATACCTAAAGGACACCCTCAACATTTGGAAATTTTGAATTTATCAGAGCTGAACACCCTAATTTTACAACCCCCCTCACCCCCGACCTTGCTAGGAATTGCCTATATTACCTTAATAATTCTTAGGTCCTTGGTTAGGACTTGAATTATTAAGCTTCTATCAGTCTTAAACTATGAATTTAATTGAGGATTATCCATAACAACAACAACAACAACAACAATTATTATGATAATTAATGGATTAATAATAATGGATAGTATTATTAACACAATAATAAAAGAGATGAATTAGTAATATAAATTAATTAATAAATTAATAAAATAAAATAAATATTAAATAATAAATAACAAGCAAGCAGGACCAGAAACATAGAGAAGGTGGCCACGGCTGCATGAAAACTGGCTGCACCTCCCAGTGCATCATTAACCTAGTCTCTGTGATCCCCTCCAAACTCCCCCAAAATGTCAGACAGTCTCTATCCATCCAAAGGTTGCCCACCCTGAGTTAATCAACATAGGAAGAGCCAACCTTTTGTTTAGGCAAGACAAGGCAGTTGCACCACCATTTTAACATTCCTGCAGGAGTGTCCATGCTAAGGGTGGGGTGGGGTGTGAAAAAGGCAAGATGGTGGCCATGATTGTGTTATCAAAGCCCCAAGAATAAAGAAGGGACAAGAGATGAAATATGCCTTGCCATGTTGTGACACAAACACAGGCCCTTGGTACTTCTGTCATGACAAGTACAAAGCGGCACAGTTTGTGTCACAACACTGCGGTGTCCCTTTTTTGTCATTTTAATTAAGGAATCAAGGAATTTATAAAACCACCTCACTCACAGTTTGTGACTCTGGACAGTGTATGTCAGTCAAAATCAATTAAGGGAAAAGATAAATACCGTACAGAGCCACAAATACCGTACAAACACAATCAACATGTAGGTGAGGCTGAATATAGGAAACACTCAACAGGTTCATCTAACAACGTAATCCACTGAGAAGGAGAAAACCACGTCCTCCTCACTCTATGAAAGGCCAGTAGGATGGGGCCACCTGAACCTCAGAGTAGGGGGACAGGTGCAACAATAGAGAAGGCATGTATCGTACATCCTGATAGATGACGCTGCGTTAAATAAGGGATCTGGAGCATGCTTAACTTGTGCAACCTTGTAGAATAGGCAGAAGTAATAGGTGGTCCCACAAAGAACCCAGCTTTATTCCATGTAGGGCTTCATAGGTGATAACCAGCACCTTGAATTGCACCCAGAAGCCTCCTGGAAGCCAGTGCAACTTGAGTAGTAGTGGTGGTACATGGGTGTATCAAGATCCACCCATTATTACTCAGGCTACTGCATTCTGGACCAGGTGCAGCTTTTGGATGGTCTTCAGGGGCAATCCCATGTAGATGTTAGGATGTTCTCATGGGAAGAAGAGCAAATCGCTTATCTTCAAACAAAATGTTATGGCTACAGCACGTATACTGCTATTTACTGCCACCTATTGGCGTCTTCATGCTAGTTACCTAAGGGGAGGTGCATAGTT